ATGTATGTATGTATGTATGTATGTATGTATGTATGTATGTATGTATGCATGCATGTGTGTGTATGTATGTATGTATGTATGTTTGTGTGTTTATGTATGATGTTTTTATTTGTATTTATGTGTGTATGCATGTATGTATATGAATGTAATGTGATGTAATGTAACGTAATGTAACGTAACGTAACGTACATATGTATGTATGCTGTTCCTTTTTTGGATGTTTTATTTGTGCTTAGTTCTGGCTTCCCTTGGGTGATAGGCGTCCAACAAATCGTCCTAGACCAGTCGCGTTGCTTTACTTGCAGCAAGCGCAGATGAGTTGCTAGCTGCTAGCTACAATGGTTCATCATCAAGTCCTAGAGATTTCGGGGGTCTTCAGGAGTATCAACAACTTCTAGACCATTCTGGACGGTGTTTGGCTTCAGCATGTTGGGATTTTACTAGGGGCTCCTGGGCTTACTAATTACTAGGAGCAAGGACGCTACTAGGGGCTGGCATCGCTACTACGAGCAGGAAAAGCCAGTTATTTGTTTCAGCATCAGATTCGACCGTCCAACGCCCGTGCGCGGATTGTTTGGCTTCGTGCGCCGCAGTCGCAGTCGCAGTCGCAGTCAGAGAGTTCGACTCAGTGAGCGGAACGGTTCGACCCAGTGCAAAGGTGCACATTCAAAGAAGAGACCGGGCGTGGGTTTGTATGAAGAGATCTCCAAACAGTGGATGTTCAATGTGTTTTTGATATTCCCAGAGGTCGAACTGAGGGGGTTCTCTATTCTATCCTAGGGGTCCAAGTACCTTATCAGAAGATATCAGAAGGTGATTGGAGACACTGTTATGTACGTTTGGAGGTACACAATCGCATGCATTTCGTGTCTTTGTGTAGTTTTATATATGTGTTCACGCATGAAAAGATTCTCACGGATGGCTTCGGCTCCGTAGTGGCGCTTCGGCTCACGTAAAATTGATCTCAAGATTCTCGGTGATACATATCTTCTTTGTGGACAATATTGTAAAGGTCCAGACCAAAGCAACATTTAACATACCTGCAACCTCGTTGTTCCTTTTTTCTGGTAGTTCAACAATAATTACCGCACGCAGATAAAGACCATAAACACTCTGAGGAAGTTCCAGGTATATGCATCATATAAAATATATGGACCCCATTCTGATGCCTTTCATGGTTTTTTCTATGTGTTTTCTTCCTGTTGGCTCTTTTCTGCACCGAGGACGGATCCGTTTTCTGCTTCACTTCCGGTCCGACACGTCCCACCGGACCCCGGGTCGATGAGTCCGGGTCCATGTCGGGTCCCACTCTCCGGGCGCGGCGGTCGTCGCCGTGGGCCTGGGCAGGTCCAGCAGGTGTCTCTCAAAGAGACACCGGGGGGTTGTGAAAGAGAAAAAGGTGGCGTTGGTCCGCAGATCGGGTTGGAAGCACTGTACTTGTGTTGTCAGAAGTCAAGAAAGAAGGCCTTCTGCATTGAGAGTCTTGGAGAAATCTTCCTGGTTTGATGTTTTCGGTTGTTTTTGGTGTGAGCGGTATCACTGTGTATATGGATATATTGTATGGACCATGTATGGATATGCATGGATTAGATTTGCAGATTCTGTACATGATCTGGTGGTAAACAGTGCCAGTTCTTCATGTACCAGCTGGAGAAGCTGGCCCTCGCCCATTAAAAAAACAAGTCAGTGCAAGTGCAAGTAAGAGGCAAAACATGACCAAAGATTCCGAACAAGTTCCTGAACAATGGCTGCACTGAGGGATTGCAAAGGGTGATCTTCACACACTAAGTCACGAAGGTGATATAATATATAATACAATGTTATATATATATATATGTCAGAGCACCCACCACCCCATCGTACCATCTACCCCTGTCACACCACTTCGATGCATCTCGCCTCGCACTGGTGCGCCTTTTGGTTCGCCGAGGCCGACACTCTTCCCCAAGCTCGTGGCCGCCTCGTCGCGACAGGCGTTCCCTGCACGACAGTCCCGCGCTCGCTCTCGTCCATCCATTCGGAGCCTAAGGCTTCGGTGTCGAACCTATGGTTTCAGAGTCGATGGCACCAACACCAAGTTGGGTGGTATATATATTCCCTAGGGCTCCAAGGGCCTTCTGAGAAGGTGTTTGGGGTGGGTGCCAGGAGGGTCCAAATACCTTTCTGAGGAGGTACTTGGAGCCCTAGGGATTATTGTAGTGAATCCCCATCCAAAAGACATCTTGGGGTTTGCAACCACACCGTCATAATAGCTCCGAAAAAGAGGGGTATCCATGAAGCACCCTGACCCGGGGTATACCCGGTGGGCTGCGGTATACCCGGATGGATGTTTGATTGTCCGTCCCGGTTCTAGGGAGTGAAATCCTGCGTTTTCTCGAAAAAAAGTGGCTTGATGATGCTTGATGTGTTCTTTCATCCCGGCTTCCCAGCCAAATCCGAAGTACACCAGCACCCCGCCTCCGGGGCCTCCGGGTGACCACTAAGAGAGATCGTCGTCCAGATCCGCCAGGGTCGAACCATGCCCTGGGAGGGTCGGCAGGGAGGTAGGTGGCTGGGCCAGCTGGTCCGTGTGAGGAGTTCTTGTCCAAAGATGCAGGGCAGGGTATTAGTTCAAGGTATTGGTATACATTCTTTCTGTGGTTATAGAGTATGATTTATTTCTACAGGAATGCAGTCTGACCCAGGTCCAAGCCCAGGTCCAGTCCAAACCTCATTGAGTAGTGTTTTGGTATGACCAACTCCAGTAGAAGGAGTCAACCTGTAGAGTATCCGAGCTCGGGCTGTCCGGCAGTCGGACCCGACTTTCAGGGGGAAGCTCGGCCGAAGCAAACCCTATCTGTTCGTTCGGGCCCGGATTCGTTGGGGATACATGAGACCATTTATATATACCCTCCGACCCTCCGACCCGACCGGGGGTGTCCTGGCGCTGAAAACTACACAAAAAACGACCGACCTTTTTTTAGGCTTCCAGACAGGGCGCCCCACCGACGGGCCGTCTCCCCACCCGACCCCACCCCAATCGATGACAATGTTGAGAATGTTGTGACATCGATGACCATGTTGACGATCCCTCCAAGACGTATGTGTCTTCTGCGTGTCGTAATTCCACTGTGATTCAGCGAAAACGGGAAAACAACGTGCGCAACAGGGGCGCACCCCTACCGCACATAAATGTCCTTGTTGAGCACCACAATGGCGTGTATATATAGTATCATGCGAGTATACACAGCGGCCAAATGAATTTGGGTCTTAAACAAACCCGTTTGCACATATACACATCAACATTTTTTTTTAATACATGATGCATCATCACCCGATCACAAGTGTGTGGCATGATTTCTTGTGCTGTTGGGAAAAGGAACTGTGTATGTTGCTTTACCCACATGGAATCGTTTTGAACACATCGAGTGGACCAGTGGACCAGGGCTACATTCGGCCGAAATAGGCTGAATGTTATTCTGAAAGGGTTTGAAGATATCAAAGATCCCAGGTGCTTCTTTCAGTTTTCAGCAAACTAGTCAGGGTCTTTTCTTTGGCTTATACAAGTCCTTCAGCTAGCACGATCTTCGATTGGTGTTTGTTGCATCTGAGTCAAGTCACTCACTGATCTAGTTCCATGTGTGCCGCTGCACTGCTACCTTACTTCTGCTTGCGTCAACGTAGCTGCATCAGTCTCGTCCTCTCCACGTCAAGACTGATTCCAGTGGGTCAGGTTTTTAATTGTTACACATATTGTTTTATGTATAAACAAAAAAATGTTGTGCTTGAAAGCATCCCTTTTCGGGAAGGTAGGCCGGTAGGCATGAATGCAAAGCAGGAGTGGGATCACTCACTTGTGTCACTTTGCAGCCTTCCAAGCCAGGGCCAATTGGGATTCAATGGGGTTGATTCATTGAATCCAAGGTGTTTTTGTCCTGGCATACTGCATTTGGACTATGCTCTATGAGAGTGACGGACGCATTACGACGGAGAGCGCGTGCCCCTCGTGCCCATCTCGAAGCTTGAGCCATGGTCATTTGGGTATCGATGTGGGTTCATTCCACGAAGGAATTCCTGCATTCTTCCAACATGCAAGTTGGACGACTGGTTTTCCCTCTGCAGAAACATCCCTCCATTCCAAAAACACCACGGTGTGTGGGGGGGGTTGGGTCCTGTTTGGTCCCGGGCTCCAGGAGGGCGTTGAAGGAGTTGGCTCCGTTGGCTCCCTGGGGCTGTATCGAGCTCCTCGGACCTATCGAGCAGCGTGGAGGGGTGGCTGTGGGCAGAGCGTTTGGGATTGGGTGGACTATGGGATTGGAACAGTTGTATACATACCCCTAGGGCTGCAGTCGTACCTTCTAAGAAGGTGGGACTGGGGTGGGTTTAGAGGGTCCAAATGTGCTTGGAGCTCTAGGGTACATTTATTATTGATCCCAATGTAGATTTCCTTCGCTTTTGGGTGCGGCAGACCTGTCATTTCGGGGAAATGGGATGCTTCTAGGCTTGGCGCGGATAGAGTTCGCAGCTCTTCAACAAAAACAAGTTCAGCACGTGAGCAATCGCATCGACAGCGATGTTGCTGTCACGGTCAGATCCAAAGAAAAACACCGTCGATCATGGTTTGCTATGTTTGCTCCAGAGAGTTTGAAAGAGGCACCCTGTCCTGAACTGAAATGGCCATTTCCGGCGACAAACCGTCGCCATCCTCCATCTTACACAGGAAAAAGATGGACAAAGTGTCTTCACCTGCACAACCTGTGTGTTTTGTTCGGGAGAAAGTGGTGAACCGCCGCTCAAAATCCGAAAGTTTGGTGCACGGGCCCGGGTCACCTTTAATTTGTTCAATACAGCTCGGGGGAAACGGTCAATCTGCCAGACAGCTCGGGGCTCATTGGCCGGAGCGTCGCTGCCGCCGGCGTGCGCACGCGGAGTAGTCGCGGTCCGTCCCTTGTAGGGTCGCCAGACTTGAGGAGTAGTTGGACGATCAATGCCGATCATGTGGAAGATGAGTTGGCAAATGAGGAAGTCAGAATCTGGTGGCGTGGTGAGATCTGAATTCTTACCTGGAATACTTAGCAATTGAGTATCGTGATGCTGATTCCTTCTAATATACCAGAAATCCATGACATGATATTCCGCCAATCCAGTCGACGGTGGCTGACGGTGACCTTCCTCTGCCCAGGACAGCTTTCGGCTGCTGTGGATGGGGCAGGAAATCACCATGGACCTGCTGCGGGCGCTCCCGGTCGAAGATCACATGGACGGCCACGCAGGGAGCGACATGTGTCATTTTATCCCAAAACTCACGCACTCCTCCAAGGGCCTCATTTATCCAACCCCTCACGCGAAACAGAGACACCTCCACTCCTGTGAGACTGCGGGAGGTATGGCTGCCCATGTTTGATGTGCTTTGCAGTGTGTTTCAATAAGTTCAGTGCATCTCCCTTACCCAAGTAGAGCACAGGATGGATGGGCAAGATCCTACTCCACCCAGAAACAATCTTCATTGTGATGTGCAGTGGACCACGGTGCCGGATAAATTCCTATAGCATCCTATAGCCAATAGTAGGTAGCGTCCGGGGCAGAGGAAGAAAACTTGACTTGGGGTGTGGAATATTGAAGTTGTTTGTCGCAGATGTTTCTTGGCTATAGGTACTGAAGCCTCTGCTTGTCAAACGTGTTGCAAGCACTGTGCAGAGATTGCCGCAAAACCTATGAGCCACATTGATCAGTGGAGACTCGAGTGCATCATGTCCTTAGAATGCGGTCACGCGCCTCCACAATCTTGGGCAGATCACCTGTAACAAGTCTCTTTTTGGGAAATGTCCGAATTTGCTTGCGCGTTGGGTGACCAGTTGGGCGTCCTCAGTGCGTCAGCTTCGGCGGTCGCGTTGTGCCTGGGAAAGTAGCACCAAGCCCCCGGGTCAACGCACCAAACACCAAAGCACGAAAAAGCACTCCAAAGCCTTCAGAGGAGTTCGCTGAAGCAAAGACCTATATTTCAAGGGGGCCCGGGGACCCCCAGACGATCCAGGAACATGAAGGGTGAGTGTGTAGTAGTTGCCTTGCGCCCCAAACACGTGCCATATTCTACCACACCATCAATGTCACAACATGAAAGATGCGCTATGTGCTGCGGGTGGTGCCCGGTCCCAGCAAGTGCATGAAATATCTGTCACTTTGATTCACTTTGCTATTATATTTTGAAGTATAGCTTGCGTGAAACAGTCTTTGTTCAACAAGAGTTCTGCAACCCTGTCAGACTCCAGGGTGAGGCTGCTCATGTTTCCTGTGCCAGTACGCTCATGTTTCTCCGATGCCCACACATTGGAAGATATAAAGCACGAGGAACGATTCTTGTGACGCGCAGTGCTGGAGAAATTCAGCTGTCAATCGAAGGATGGACCTAGGGCCACCCACCTAGCCTATAAAAATGTTTGGTAATGTCTGGGGAGGGGAAGCTTTGATTTGGTGTGTACAAGAGAATTCTACTTTTCGGCTGGTCTTTGGAAAAGGAGACTCAACCGAACCGAGATGAAGAGTGCTTACAGGCTCAACAGGACCTGCGCCGGGTGCCGTGACGCTGAGGCCCTTGGAGCGTCCACAAGTGGTGCGGGTGGTCGCGGAGGGAGGTGCGGCCCTAGAGCGATTTGGTGTGTACATTTGGCAATTTTGATGCGCAAATTGCCAGCGTGTTTGCACACAGGATGTTGAAACGAAAAACCTGGGATAAGAAGACAACAGTTTGTGCATCACTGGGGGGACACGCGAACATTTAAATTCAAGAGGCTGGTTGGCGCGTATTTTTTTGTTTGGCACAGCAGTGCAATTTTTTTTCTGATACCGTACACCCTTCAATTGCCGGGTGTCGCTGAACCTGTTCATCCGCCCCTGCCAGATTCCCCGACATTCTGCAGACCACCGTGGCCATACGGACGCGCAACTCGCACGCCTGGAGTGAAGTACCTCAAGGCGCGCCACAATCAGCGAATCGTGGCAGGGCTCTTTCCAGAGCGCGCTGGCCTTTCAATGCAGGACATCCCGTGGGCAAAGCCAAGCTTCAGGCAGGAACTGAAGCCTAGGCCCTCTGAGAAGAGCGGTTTTTGGCCGCAGAGTTCACTTCAGCAGCAGGCCAGCGAGAGTTGGGATGGTTTTTTGCTCGATGTTAGAGGTATAGTACTTGTACCAGACGGGGCCGGTTCTCACTGCCGTGAATTACATAATTAATTTTATGTTTCCAGCGACGGATGGTTGCAAGTTTGCCCATGTTTGAGGCAACCCTCAAACAGCCGCAGCAGGAGGTGAGCAGCGGTTCAACCGCGTCCCTGTTGCCTACAGGTGGGCAAACCGCACAGGAAGTGAGCAGCAGTCCAACAATGATTCCGCCAAAAGCCCGCCATCAATGGAAAATTGGACCTGCCAGCAACGGTGTGCGCCGCCATGAGCCATGAACGGTATGACAGCGCCAGCAGGCAGCCCCGTGGTGTGGCGGCCGCACGCCGCATTACTGCGCTTACCATTTTGTGTGGAATATGGTGTCCGCTCGGAGTTTTGGTTTGTTGCTTTTGTACCACTGAACGGTTCGATTGAAGGAAAGGTCCACAATCGTGGCGCGAAGAAGAACGAGTTCCAAAGAGCTTTTAACATTTGCGCGCAAACTTTACGTTCATCACTGAGTGGTTTTAGAACATTGGACTTTATTGTTCTCGAAAAATGGTGCTGGAAGATCATAATCTTGGAAATTGCTTCAACCCAGCTTCGTCAAGAGCTTGGATAAAACATTGAACAAACAAAACAATTTAAAAGCATCAGAATAGATAATACTATCGTTTAGGCCTGAGCAGGTGACGAACAATGACTTAGAAATTTAACACGCAGCAGGATTTTCAGACAAAAATGTAAACACAGCAGAAACAATGAAACATTGCCATCTCACAAGGACTGCATGCAAATCAATAATTATTGTATATATGAATAGTGAATGGTCGTTTTTCAAAGAGAGGTGTTCTGGCTGTTTCTGTTTGAGATGTTTCGCAAAAATCGGATCCGGGCTTCGGCGCACAATAGCGCGCACTCCGGCTTGGGCGCATATTGCGGTTTGCGCGCTTCCAGTCGCTCGCCAGATGTGCAATGTGAGAGTTTAGGGACTGGCGTGAGTGGAACACAGTGTCAACCAACACAGGTTGAAGGACCCTATAGACTATCCCATAGGCACCCCAGTAGGTTCTTATAAGGTCACTTAACCTCTCTAGGAAGGCGGATCTTGCTCTTCCGGAGCAAGGCCTTCACAAAATTACTCTGTCACCGGAGCTCCTGCGCATGACATGAAAACAACATTTTTTCAAGCAAAGCCACTCGTTTGGCTGCTTTGATGCTTGCCAGAGGATGGAGTCATGGGGTACACTTTCCAGTACTTCAAGTCAGATTCTTTGCAAAGTCGGTTAACCGGCTCATGTACCGTACAGGTGTTTGACGATTGTGATGTGGTTGGCCCTGGCAGAAGGTTTCCGCCAGGTTTGGTTTTCATGGGGCAGGACGACCAATTGATTTGGCCACCAGCAAACCTCTTCACTTCACACAACCTCACCGGTTGCTGAAGAAGCTAGGACGTTATGAATATGTACGGCCTGTTTTCTTTGTCACGCACGATGCAAAAAGTGTTGAAAGACCGTCGAATGGAATGGAGACCTGCCATCCATTTCACATTAACTCGGGAGCGATACAATGGTGGACCAAAAGTGAACATATTCCCTACACCCAGACGCGACCCGGGACCCGTTTGGACCCGAACCAATCCCTATGGTTTGCTTCGGGACCAGTTGGGCTGGGAACAGGTCCAAAGATCCTGAATACCTTGGTACTGGCAGCGTGTTTTTGTATATGATAGGATAGATCATGAATTTTCATGTTCTAACATGTCCATCTCCAAAAAAAGTATTATAACTGCATTGATCTTCAAATCGATAAATCCATTGATCATGTAAATGCAACTCTATATAATCTATATATGTCAATATGTAGATATATATATATATATGTCCATAGAAATCCTACTTATATGTCCCATATATATATATGCAATTCCACTCATCCCATATATATGAGCACTGCAAAAGAAATTCGATCAATTCGATCCAGGCCATTCTTCCCCAGATTCTCAACGACGCGAAACACGCGCGCGAAAAACGCCAGGTCTTCAGGTGAGAACGGTGCAAAGTCTACTGCAGCTCGTGAAGGAGTGGTGCAGACAGACCGGGATCAACTGCCACCGGGATCGAGTTTAGTTTGGTACTGGACCCGACAATGGCGCCTGCAAACCTGGCGTCTCCAATGACCTTTGCAGAAGGTATGTGGAATTTCTATGAGAAGTTGGCTTGGACGGTTTGGTTTGCGTTTGTGGCCGCTGAGACAAGAGGTCTATACTCTAATCGAAGCCTTGGTCTTGTTATGATCACTGAGGTTCACATCAAGTGGGAGAAGGGGGCCTCCTGGAAGGAAAAAGTGTTCTAATTACTTTACATGAGGCCGATATGGACCGTTGTTACTTTTTTCCCAGTCCTGGTCACCTTTCCAGCTGCCCCAAGCCTTCGGATGCCTTCGGACTCTACAGCTGGACGTCCCAGTCCAACGCCCGCGGAGGCGACGTTGGCGCAGAAGAGCCACTTGGCCTTCACCGCCGGGGTGCTATGTGAGCATTGCCATGTGCGGCCGCTCATGGGACTGGCGGAAGGGGGGGTTCGGTATCAGCCCGTGCTTGACCTGTTGACCGATGAATCAACGGGGGTGGCGTACATGGTGAAATCTTGATTTACCCTAAATAAAGATCATCCCAGGTTCCAAGAAAGAATCTAAATTAGAAATGAACTGACCCCGATTTAAATGAATACTTAAAAAAAAGGAATTAGTATATTATTACTATACTTATTATTATTTCTTTTGACATGTGCTAACTTTATTTCGGGGGGGTTAATGAATCAGGGCGGGAACTTTGCTAACTTTATTTATGGGGAGTTATTCATCAGAGGTCAACATTATACACGGTTTGTTGCAGCTTGACAGGGAATGGTTCAAGTGACGTTACCAGCAAACTTGAATATGTAGAGTTCATCTCGACTATATGTGATTATCATGAGTCGGATATAGCCGGATTCCTGTCTTCTCAGCAGCCGCAAAAGGGTTTTGCGGATTGTTTTCAGCCTTGTTGCAAAGTCATTCACTCCCTCCTTCGAGAAGACTATGAGATAGCTGGTAAAGCCTATTCCCATGTAGAACTCTACAGGTCAGTTTGACCTCATTCTACTCTAAGTCTAGGTGTTTTCCTGTGTCAGACTGGACCTGTAATGGGGGCAACCTAATATACAGAATCTAGACCTGTGACAGGCTTCGACCGGCGACGCCCTTGGGGGGACTGCGCGTATCCGGAGGCTCCTTGCACAGCAAAACGCGACGATTAGCACAGCTTCTTACGCCTGCACACTCCCACACAGGTGTGCGCACCAGGGTCTGATGGAAAAGCCAGGCAGCCGGAGCTTCAGACACACGTATGCACATGCACACCCGCACGTGCGCCCGCACGCACACGAACGCACACGCACTCGCACGCACGCACGCACACGAGAGCACACGAGAGCGCGCACATGGCTTCTTCAAATATCAGGGCTTTGTAGTGGAAAACGCTGAGAAATATTGTAATGTTTAGATGATATTTTTGAGCACTTTCTAGCCTAAAGCTGTCTGCGTTTAGGCTAAAAAGTGCTCAAACAGACAGTCTTCTGCAACGTTCTCCACTACAAAGTCCTGATATTGGAAGAAGCCGTGTAAACCCAGTGGTGCTAGAAATGTCGGCTGCAAACCGGCATTTTGAACATCACCGGGACATGTATTTTCTTCAAAAAAAGTGAAAAACATATGGAAAATGATAAGGACATGGGGCCACCCCAACCTGCAGACAAAGGGGGGGAAAGAAAATCCAATTGTTTGCCACATGCTGAGAGAATGGTCGGGAGCTTGGAGCTTGTGTCAAGACTTGGTGATGCGTTGTGAGTGCAGAATCATGGGGTGCTGTGGCTGCGGTTCAACGGTGCCAGCGCTTCGTGGTATGGTGAGCGATGTGCTTTGTCATCCAACTGCAGCGGATCCTTGAGCCGCTGGGTGTGGCGTTGCCATGCACGGTGCGGTGCATGACCTGTGGCTGACTTTGGAGAGTTCATGAGAAGCAGCATGTCTGACATGACCGCAGGCATCCAGAAATGAACATCAAAGTGTGCGTACATATGAAAAGATTTCTTAGATAGATGGATGGATGGATGGATAGATAGATAGATAGATATAATATATATACATATACAGATGCATGTCCAAGTCATCGACATTATTTTGTGGTGGAAAAAGAGCAACCCAAATCAAGTGCACTTGAGCCCAAACAATGCGAATCTCAAACGGCGATGTCAGCAGGTAAAGCAGCCTGTGTGCTGAGGCTGTGGGTGCAGCCACTGGTGGCCCTAAGAGGTGTGGAGAGGACGGTGCCCAAAACCTTTCCCCCATTTAATTCTGCGCCCAAAAGGGCGTGGACAGGGTGCCTAACAGCAGCTTCGAAAGCCAATAGAAAAAACTTGAGCAGCCAGAGGCGGACCAGACAGGAGCCCTGAGACCAGAGGCACAGCGAAGCCAAAAAGCGGAGGTAGCGCCGCAGCTGTCTTCCATCTAATTCTGCGCCCAAAAGGGCGCGGACAGGCAGGGTGCCTAACACCAGCTGCCACAAAGCTTGAGGGGCCAGAGGCAGAGCAGGTAGGAGCTCTAGACCAGAGGCAACGTGAAGCGAACAAGCAGAGGTACCGCCACAGTGGCTTCGCTATCCCAGACGCCGCCCCGCGTAGGCCTCTGTTGGCGGATATATACAAAATCATCACCTGCACCTGGCTGTTCCCTTCCACACGGCTGCTTCCAGCTCGCGTGCGGGCACCAGGCCTCCGGCCGGTCCTGGGCGGCTCGGCACCATGTGATCGACCTCTCCGAGCTGAAGGAGCGGCGGCGTACAGTTTGCGGGAGGCGGCGTGTGGTTGGGTTCGGCTCCCGCTCCTGGCCCACCTCCGTTTCGGTTCGGTGGGGGGTGTATAGTTAGTTCGTTAGTTTCGGATCCAGGGAACATGCGCAGTGATCTAACTTGGGAGTCCCCGCCTGTAAACGTGACCGAAGCAACCAGGGGATCAAGTTCGGTCACGAGAAGATCCACGATGATGATTGTGTTTTTTGGTGACTGGTGAATGGATGTGGAGAGAGCTTGTAGGCCAAGGGCCAAGGGCGCGAATTTTGTGTTGACAATTGTGAGGCGAAGGTCCGCACGATTATTTGGTGGTGAAGGTCCACACCAGGATATGGTTTTTTTTTCCTCGCTATTTGATGTGTGATGCTTGAAGATGATGGAAAGTTCCGAAATTTGGTTTATTTGTTCATGTAAACTGTTGAGTAACAAAAATTATCCACCGCGGACGCCGCGGAATGATTCAGAATTGATTATTTACATTCATGTTTAATTACATATTTGTACATTTTACATGTGTGGGCCACTGTGTGGGTTTTATCAAAGCACAGTCTACATTGGAGGATGCCTTCATTCTTTCAATTTGAGTTGCGGGGCAAACTGTTTGGGTGGAGGTCCCTGCAATTGTTTCCCGTTCAAAGGGTCCCTATGAGCATTCTGAGTGCAAGACTTTGGAATAGAGGCCGCGAAATGGAGCAGGAAATGGAGAGTCCTCCCAGCTTGACCCCCGGAAGGGA